TAAAAAAACAAGAGGTGGAGGGCTTCCTGAGCTTTCCCTGGACCTCTCCACCACTCCTTGATCCAGGCTCATTCTGGGAAAGATCCCAGCATGGAAAAAAATAAACCCTGACTGCTATGGCTGCAGCCAAATGTCAAATGAGACAGGATACATGAAAGGACTTTGAAAACCATAAGGCACACTATAAATATTAGGCACTGTTATTCACTGAATCCCTGAGGCAAATAAGATGAAGACCACAGCTACAATCATAAGGGAAGGAATGCCTGTCAAATACAGAAATTATATCTATTCCAAATCAAGATGCCCCTAACTAGAAATTCCTGTAATTTGGGGGCCAGGCACAGTGGCTCATGCCTGTAATCCCAGCACTTTGTGAGGCCAAGGCGGGCAGATCACTTGAGATCAAAAGATCGAGACCATTCTGGTCAACATGGCAAAACCCCATCTGTACTAAAAATATAAAAATTAGCTGGCATGGTGGCACATGCCTGTAATCCCAGCTACTCAGGAGGCTGAGGCATGAGAATTGCTTGGACCCAGGAGGTAGAGATTACAGTGATCCCAGATCACCCCACTGCACTTCAGCCTGGGTGACAGAGCAAAACTCCATCTCAGAAAAAAAAAAAAAAAAAAAAAAAGAAATTCCAGTAATTTGAGAGGACATCATGCTTGGTATGTTTCCTGTCAAATATGTCTCAACATTTAAAAATCCTACCTGAGGCATAATATGGGGCTCTTAATAAACTACCATACACATTTATTAAAACTTAAGTCCGCATCTATGTATTTCTCCAAGGAAATTTTGACACACTGCAGATCTTAACTAATTAGGTAAATTCCATTCCATTCAATCACTCATTGAGTGACTTCCAAGTGCAAGGTAGTGTGCTAGCTGCTACGGGGATTGCTGACATGAGTAAAAGGGCTTAGCCTTCCAGTAGCTTGGCCAAATAATTTCTCAGTTTCCATTTTAGAGTGGGGAAGCTGCATCTCCTTTCACAAATGTAAGAGAAAGCAATCATTATTTTAGGTGATTAACCTACAACCTGGGAAATACATTTTCTAGTAACATAGTTAATAAAAAAGCAAAGAAACTTCTTAATACCTGGTGACTGGAGACACTGTTGTGTGCTCATTTCTATGTTTATCCTAGCCCAGTTTACGTCCAACCACTCTTGTCATAATTGCGTAACCACAGCATGTCATGTTGTTTCTTGTTGCAAGTATAACTTGTAAAATTAAACTTCAGAACTGAGACAGTCAAGCTAAATAATTGCCTACTTTAAAAAATATGTATGTACGTAATTTACATGCCACTTCAGATAAGCTCTTGAATTATGATCTCTAGAAGTCAAAACTGTCACCATTTTTTAAAATATAGTTTCACTGTCGCAATTCTTCTTGTACACAAGCCCTATCCCTGTTTTTTCAGTTTTCTAAGCAGTACTTTATACTGGTCTATTGCAATCTGCTTTTTGTGTTTTATGGAGAACCCAATTAAGCAAAATTTTTATTTACTCCATGCTACGGGACTTTTGAAATTGAGGCTCAAAGAAGGATCATGAAGTGGCCAAAGATGCATTTGTTTGCTAAAACCCTATTAACAAAAGTATCTTTACACAGTAAAGCTGGGGAAAAAAAGGTCATCTGAATACCCACCATGTACATTGTGTAGGGTCCTCATACCTGTATTATATATCATGTAACCCTTCCCTCACCTTGGGAGGGAGGCTTCACTACATCCATTTCCAAAATAGTATTTTTATGAGATGTATATTTTCATGAAGACTGATCGACCCAATCTCTCTCAGTGAATTCCGATTGACTAGACGTATAAGTAGATTTACATACTCAATAGGTTTCCAAAAAACTGGAGGCAAATCAACTTTCGCATACAAACTATTTTCATGTAAACTTGCATTGTAAGATCAGACCTGCCATACCCTGACTTCTGATTGATAATCAGCACCGTGCTGCTCAGAGCACTTGCTGGAGTCTGAAGCTTCTCCATGTGTACACACCCTTTCCCAACAACTCTCTGATGAGTTTGGATCCCATTCCACCCATGAGGAGGTGCACAATGAAACAGTCTAAATCACCTAAAATAAGCAGTGACCACACTCTGAGATACCAGCTAAACATCAGGAGAGAAAATACAAACAAAGCAATGTTCCCTCCTCCCTTTATATTTGGTTCTAAGAAGCTGGAGGAAGACAAAGTATCATAAGACAGTGAGGTTTCACCAATTTCTCTGTTAACTGGCAGTCTCCTTCTAAATCTCCCTCCAGAATTATTATGCCATTACCCTTTAGTTAGGGCCACCCTCAAAGTAGAGCTGGAAGGAAACTTCAAAGGATACAGAACCCCAAGACCTCTGTACTTAAACATGTGAGCTCCACAAGATGCCTCATTATATGGCTTAAGTTGTATTGATAAATTCAAATGAAGACAGTCATATTTATCATCTTAGGACTCTTCTGTAAATATGTCACCTGCCTTCTCCTGCCCTATTGGAAGATGACATGACATTCCCTGTCCAGCCTTTGGTGTCTCCTTTGGACAAAAACAAACAAACAAACAAACAAAAAACAAAAACAAACACAAACCAAAAAAATCTTATAGAAGGGGGCTGCTTAGAGCATGGAGCAAGCCACTCAGAATGTAAAACTCAAAGCTTGTCTGGCCACAAAGGCAACACAGTGCTGAGGCATGATTCACCTGGAAATTACACTCATAATAGTGCAAACCACCTTCCTCCTTAGTAGGATTTTTTAATCAGTCACAGCAAATAGTACCAAAGCTCTTGAATTATGCCCTGTGATTCTTCAAGAAGCTCAAACCCCTTCAGACAGTGGCCTATTAATTCCCAGAAACCCATGTTGAATATAAAGTGAGATGGGGCGGAGGAGGGTAAATTTCTAGCCAAGAAAACAAAATTATCAGTTTTCTAAACTCAGAGTTAAATTAAGTCAACCCTGGAGGAAAGCTGGAATTTTAAGGTCCTTATAGGATGAACTTTTAACACTGGAGGATGTGAGACCTCTCTACCACCCAAGGCCATTTTTCTTTGGAAACATGCCCCAATCGTGACAAAGCTAGACAACAGAAGCACCCCGCCCCTCCTCAGGCACCCACCCAAGAGCTGAGCGCAGTGGTCTTTGTTGCCCTTTTTAGAAGCCTCCAGGACTGTTCTCTGAAGCAGGTTTGCACAGCAGTAAACATTGAGTGACATTCTATTTCAATGCTGTATTTGTGATCTGTGAAGTACCAGTCGCAGCACTGGTTTAACGCCTATAAATACACTCAGTTGTCCTACCACTGGTACTTCCTACTTTGTAAGTAGCAAAACAAAAATAGGTGATCCAATCCAAATTAATTTCTATGTCTGACAATTGCATTTCCCCAAACAGCCAACATGGAACATGTTCTATTGATCCTACAGTCCAGTTCTAGACAATATGAAAAACGGGAGAAAACTCCAAATTCAGCATCTTGAACTTAAAAGACCTTTCAGAAACATCACCTTCTCCCCACAGTGCTGAAGCAGCCCAGGCCCACTCCACCTATGTTTGTTTCTATCCTGGTAGATCCCAGTTCTATCAAATTAAAAGGTTATTCCCATTAGGCAGAAGCTGAACCCATCCCCTTGAATAGGGAGGTGCTCATTACATCTGTCTGTGTAATGAACTTGTCATTTCCCCAAACGGTCTGGACAGTCTCCTAAAAAAAAAAAAAAAAGAAAGAAAGAAAAAAGTTCTCCATGGAATCTATGGTGTGTCAGTCCCTTCCTAACATCTGAGTCAGACTACGTGTGTCTTTACTGAGGTTCTGGGTGCCCAGGGTGTATCATTTTCAGAGTTGCTTCAGCAACTGAACTATGGCTGTTTTCCAGCCACGGACAACACAAGCACTATCTATTTTAAAACAATTTTCCTAATCCACAGGCAATGGAAGAGATCCCATAGGTCACCGACATCCTATTGGAAACAAATTATTTCTCTCTCAAACTGCTTGCCGTCTCTCAGAATTAATGCGTGTTTATGTGTGCATAATTGTATCTTTGGCCATGAAACTCTTGGGGCAAAGAGGACCACCCCAAATTTTACCGACATGCCTGAGCCATTCAGAGCTTTAGAAGAGAAATGAATGGGTAATGAGAGCCCTTAAGCCCAGGACTTCTCTCACACAAACAGTAAGTGGAAAGGAAAAAACAAAAACAAAAATAAAAACTAACCCTCCGTAGAGGGAGGGGGCAGGGTGGATGATAGGGAAAGGACATTAACCAGCAGACCTAAGGCAGCCGTGGCGGCGGCACTTCGCGAACTGCCTGCAGAGGAGAGTGAAATCTGTTTCGTGTACAATAACCAAGCACCCTCTGGCTGCCTCGCATGGGCACGAATAATAAATACATCGAGGTGGGCAAACAGAGGCACCGAAACAAGCCACCCCAAAAAGGTCAAAACTTCAGAAATCCCGGGGTTCAAACCACCCACACAAACACATCAATCAATCGGAGCGGGAGAAGAGACTTGGATACTTAGCAAAGGATCCTACATTGTGTTTTTCCTTTCCAGCTCTGGCTTGCAAAGTACGGTGGCTACATGCAAAGCTAGAGGAGAGCAGGAAGGCTGAGGGCGGCAGGGTGCGGGTGGGAAGGGAGGGGTGTCTAACACCAGCCACCCAGGCCTCGATGTGACGAAAGTCGTCAGCAGCCCCGACCACATCCCAGACCCTCCGCCCTGGCCGGCAGACGCCCCTCGCGGCTCCCCCACCCCAGCTTCCGTCCCTGGCAGCAGCCCCGCCAGCCCCGCACCAGCAGCAGCCCCAGCCCGGGCCCCGCTCTGGCAGCGCCACGACCGCGGCTCCCATCCCTTCCGCGCGGCAGACACCCCGCAGGCCTCCCTCCCTGCCCACCCGGGGATGCCCGGGTAGCCGAGCCGGGGCGGGCTGCACTGCCAGCTCCCCCCGCCCCAGAGCAGGCGATGGCTCACGCTTACCTTGGGCGTTCGCGGGGGGGCTGAAGGTGGCAAGCCTCCCGCCCCCCGCCCCTGTCCTCCTCGCCTTTTTTCTTCCTCCCTCCTCCTCTTCTTCCTCCTCCTCCCCACAGTGTGTCCTGGGCTCCCCCTCCTCCCCGCCGCTTGGAGTAAGAACCCAAAACCCCGAAGCCGGGCCCGCGTGCAAGCGTGCGGGAGGCGGCGGCGCGCGGCCAGCTCTCCAGTAACTGAGCGCGGCGCGCAGCTCCCAACTCAAGTGTGAAAGAAGCGGCGGCCGCGGCGGCCGCGGCACGGAACGTCCCCCCGGGAGTGGGCAGGGAGCGAGCGGGAGCTGGCGCGGAGCGAGCGAGGGAGGGGAGCTCCTCGCTCAGTCACTCACTCGAGGGGCGGGGGCAGCAGACACTCCCCCACCGCCAGCCCCTCCCCGCGCCCGGCTCCCGCGCGCGCCTGGCTCTCCTCCCCGGGGCGGGGCCTGCGGAGGCAGCCGGAGGGCAGCACGCTGGGGAGCGGGCTGGGGGCTGCTAGGGCTGCGGGGCGGGAAGGAGGAGGGAGTGTGCGTTTGAGTGTGTGTGTGTGGGCGACTGTGTCTGTGTGTGTGTGTGTACGTGTGTGCGCGCGAGCCCTGCAGCGGCAGGCCAGCCGGAGGGAAGACCCCGGCGGGAAGACTGCGTCCTGTCCGGCCTTCCCGGGCCTGTCACTCGGGTGGTGGCGTGGGAGCGGCGAGGCTGCTCGTGGGGTAGTCGGGTGGGCCCAGCTCTAGTTGAGATTCGGGCCAGCCCCAGGGCCCAGCCTCGGGGCTGTGCCTGCTGGAAGCAGACAGAGGGAAGGCCGGGCGTCCTTGGCCCACCGCGCGGCGGCTCCCTTCCCGGGCGAGGCAGAACGGGCGGGCTGGCGCAGCCCAGCGGCCCGGGCCCTGCCACTGATCCGCCTCCACACTGACCCGAGCTGCGGCGCCTGCAAGATTAATGAAGCATCCGCGATTCTGTAGAAGCGGCACCGGGAGGAAAGAGACAAGATCGTGCTGCGCCCCTCTCCCCACCCTCCTCAGCTTCCTAGGACCTAAAGGCGTAGGTTGCGTCTGCCAGGCGCGTCTGGAGTGGTCCAGAGAGATCGCCATCCACCACTGCGTCTGTCCGGTTCTTTGTGGACCCTCATAGAAGCTCAATCAATTTCCCACCCTCTGGAAAAGGGTATTTTTCTCCTCTTCCCTGGCATATTGGGTGTTTCTTGTGTGCACCTAATTGATCTTTTTCCATTGATAGCCTTTGGGTGTCTTTTGTGCGGCTTCCCTGCGCTTCACTGCTGCCTCAGTGCCTTAGACACACGAGGAACGTCAGGCCCCCCGAGTGAGAACACCCAAGAAAACAATAGGGGCGAAAGATCCTCCCTGGGCCTCGCGGATTATGCACAAACCAGATCATTTCCCACATTCGGCCAGGATGAAGACGGAAAATGGAAAAGGACGCATCAGACAAGAAAAGCAAATTCATAATTTAGTTTAATGAAATGAGTTAGATCAACCACTAATGTCTAGTTTCAAAAAACTAACCTTTTTTTGAAACTAGTTTTCCCTTTTTCCACCCTTTTTTTTTTTTTTTCCAAATTAAAAGACTAGTATCCCATTGTTGTTTTAATTTTTATTGTTTTCAGGGATGGGGTTTCCTGCCAAGGCTAGACTCGAACTCCTGAACCCAAGAGATTCTCCTCAAGGGATCTTCTCCATCGCAGCCTCCCAAGTAGCTGAGACTACAGGCCAATTCCACTGCACCCTGCCTAGCATCACATTGTTCAGGAACCTCAACTTATATTCCATTTTTACAAAATATCTATATTCTGGTTCATACTTCTCCTTGGAGCCCAAATTTTTTGTAGTCTAGCCTCTTGGAAAGGAGCGGTTAAGAAGGGAGAGTAGACAAACTGAGATTTCAATCAGGGGCAACCAGCCCCATCCCTTTCACCACAGGTGACTTGTTTCATTTCTTATTTCTTTCCTCATCTGTAAAGGGGATTGATAATGATCGTTCCTACCTCATAAGCTTGTTGTGAAAGTAAAAAGAAAATAAAATGAGGTGGCAACGCATGTAAAACACTTTTCATAGTGCCTGACACATGGGTGAGAATAAATAGAAGCTATTGTTTCAAACTTGATTATTTTAAACTCAAATTTGGTAGAATTTTATTCTCTTTCCATTCCTTCTGAAAAGTTAGGGAGGAGAGTGGACCCAGCTGATGGATTGTAGAATCCATCAGTGTAGAAATTCAAGTGTGGAAATCCACTCTTCCCTTCGGTTTTTATGCCTTGCCTGAAACTTTTGCCTGTGGTAAAATGAAATAAATACATAACTGAGGGGTGGGTGTGTGTGTGTGTGTGTGTGTGTGTGTGTGTGTGTGTGTGTGTGTACATCTATATCCATATAAAAGGATCTTTGAGGACAATAAGTTTTGTTCTTCCCCCTCCTTTTTCCTTCCCTCATCTACATAGACCACCCTGAATAGACAGAGCTCTGTGATGTTGACCTGTGTACCCTTTCAGGGCTCAGACAGTGCTTGGTAGTGTAGATTTCTTGAGGGCAAGGCTATGGGGTTTGTTTGGTTTGATATCCTTAGAACTAAGAGAAGGCCACAGAAGAAGCACTTCATACATGTGTAGATGAAAGAACAACTATACTACAAACTTTTAAAGCTAGGTTTAGATTACTCAAGATAATACAGGTTCATTGTGGAAATTTTCAACATTTGAAAAAAGCTAAGTACAAAGAAAATGAAAATCATAATTCCACCATCCAGAGAGAAGCATTCAATAAGTGCTTCAAGTTTGTCCATTTTCCCCCATTTATTTCATCATCATTCAATCAACAAACATTTATTAAATACCTAGTTAGAGATCAATTTGCCAACACAAGATTGTATATGTGTTCTAAGTGTTGTTTGTTTCTCATAGAAACTTCCACAAGAGCAACATTTTATACAGTAGTAAGGTTCTCAGGATAGCCTACAAAAGCCCACAATTAAATGACCATGCTGACCAGAGACAATTCAGATTTTGTGGGACTTGAAGCACTCAAAATTTGGGGAGCCACCTTCAAGATTAAAAAAGACAAAAATACTAAAACGCCTTAGGAGAGGCTAATGTAAATGAAGGTCATGAAACAATTTGGGGAGCTACCTTCAGTGTAAGAAAGACAAAAGTATAAAAACCCCTTGATTGGGCTCATGTAAATGAAGGTCTAAGCCCTGTTTGCTTTTGAGTAAACCTATTCTCTCTGGTGCTGGAATTTCCATAGAAATCAACAGCTTTGATAAACATTGCTTCAATGTGAAATATTCCTCATTTTACCTGGGATCCCTGGGACACTTCTCCTCCCTTCCCCCACAAATTTAGAAAAGGTGAGAGGGAGACTCCCATCGCCACCAACACACACTTCCCTGCACCTGGCGCAGCAGGGGCAGTGGGACTGGGGACCTCTATAGGGGTTGCAGAAGGAAGGGAGGGAGAGAAGAGCAAAATGGGAGGGGAGGGGACAGACAGGTTGGCCACCAAGGTGCTGGAGAGGCACGTCCGGCATTGGTATACACACCAACCCGCTAACCATGCAACAGGAGTGGCCACAAATTGCAAATATGCTTGGTGTGCACAAGCTAAATCTACTAGACATTTTATCACAGAATAATCTCTCTAGCTATTCATAATTATTAAGATGACTATAAGCATATTTACATTAAAAGAATGAAGAACATCATTTCCGCGCCCCCCCCACCCGGTTGCATCACCCTTCCACACCACCAGAATCTCTGGATTCCATATCTTCAAACGCTCTAAATATGATTTTCCAAAAATTTCACATTCTTTTTGCCCAGAAAAGTTACATTTTAATCTTCAAAGGCACCGCTCTCATTGTCAATTTTCTCTTAGTCCTAAAGCTTTAGCTTATAAAGACTTGCATCTATAGGACTATACATAACATATCGGTTTGAATTCTTTATTTCTTCTTTTTCTTTTAAATATGATATAGATTGAATGTTTGAAGCCCTAACCCTCAATGTGACGGTATTAGAATGTGGGGTCTTTAGGAGGCAATTGGATTCTGATGACTTGAGAGTGGGGTCCTTATGATAGGATTAGTGCATTGATAAGAAAAACCAGACAGCTTGTTCGCTCCCACCCACATACGAGAACACAGCAAGACGGCAGACATCTAAGCCAGGAAGAGGGTTTCTACCAAGAATCTGAGCAGGCTGGCACCATGATCTTGGACTCTAAGCCTCCAGACCTGTGAGAAATGCTTATCTTTTGTTTAAACCATGCAATCTGTGGTATTTTGTTATAGCAGCCTGAGCCAACCAAGACAATAGGTTCCCTTTGTCATTGATAGTCAAGGAAAATGTATGATTTTTTAAGAGATAGTAAAAGCAGCACACTACTCTCCTATAACTTCTCATATAAATCTAAATGAATTCATTTTATGTGGTTTATTTTTTAAAGGTTTTCCCATAAAGTTAGTTTTTATGAATAATCAATTTCAAAAGTGGCTTTGGCAGAGTCGTTCAAAAATAAGTGACCCTAAGCTGAAGACTACTCTGAAATGTGCTTTCTTTCCATTTGCTCCATGAAATCACAGCCAACAGTGATTGTCTGCTGTATGTCAAGCATGGCATCATGTAATTCATAGTACAAACTAACTCACTTCATCTTCCCGACAACACGTTCAGATAGAAGCTATCATCATCATTCCCTTGCAGATGTGGAAACAGAGGCACAAAGGGGTGAAGTCATGAGTACAAAGCAAAGTAATTGATTCTCATTAGTCAGATGCCAGAGCCCATGCTTTTAACTGTTAAGAAATATGTTTTCTCTTCAATCTTCTGTGTTTTTCTGCTTCCGTTTTACTCATCTTTCAAGGCCAGGCTCAAACCATAACTCCTAAGTGAGTGATCTCAGTCTCTGAGTTTCTGAACTTTTGAAGTATCCAGGATCTTCCACAGCCTTACGCTGTTGGGGACCTTCCACATCTTTTACATTAGCTCCACCAGGCTTGATATTGTGTGTGTGTGTGTGTGTGTGTGTGTGTGTGTGTGTGTGTGTGTTTAAAATCTTCCTTCAGGGATACCACAGTGCACACACAATTAAAGGACCCAATAAGCAGCTGTGAATAAAGGGCTGTTTATGCATTTTGATTTTATAATGGTGCCACTTATGGTGACACATAGCTACTTCTGGATGGTTCCAGGCTAAATCAGGCACAGTTTAAAGTTAGTGCTAACAACTTGCTAATGGTTCTAATTGGTCTTTCAATGATGTGTGAATTACTCTGAGTAACCAGCTTTTCCAGACCTTAAATAGCT